CTGAAGGAACCCAAGGTACAACAGGTACTGGGGCAACTCAAGGTACAACAGGCACCGGAGCCACTCAAGGTACTACAGGTACTGGAGCAACACAAGTAACAACAGGTACTGGAGCTACTGAGGGAACACCAGGAACAGGTGCAAGCACACAAACACCGGGAACTGCTGCCACACAAGGAACACCGGGCACTGCACCAACCAGCGGAACTGGTGCAACTGAAGGAACCCAAGGCACAACAGGTACTGGAGCAACTCAAGGTACAACAGGAACCGGAGCTACGCAAGGTACTACAGGTACTGGAGCAACACAAGGAACAACAGGTACTGGAACTACTGAAGGAACACCAGGAACAGGTGCAAGCACACAAACACCAGGAACTGCTGCCACACAAGGAACACCAGGCACTGCACCAACGAGCGGAACTGGTGCAACTGAAGGAACCCAAGGTACAACAGGTACTGGGGCAACTCAAGGTACAACAGGCACCGGAGCCACTCAAGGTACTACAGGTACTGGAGCAACACAAGTAACAACAGGTACTGGAGCTACTGAAGGAACACCAGGAACAGGTGCAAGCACACAAACACCAGGAACTGCTGCCACACAAGGAACACCGGGCACTGCACCAACCAGTGGTACAAGCGCGGTTACAACTACTGTCATCTGTCCATTGAGTGAAGGTGAGTGTGTAATATTCAGATATTGCTGGTTGCTAGGAGAGTATTCACTGAGGAGTGTTGGGAAATGATTCTGTTTTGTTCTTGTGTTAGATTTGAGTGGTCTGCAATGAGGTTTGAAGTTAGAGATATGAACAATTTATTATTGTATGCATTACCCTGAACTTGTTGAGAATGGTGTAATGTTTGCGTTTGTCGTGTATTGGGGAAAAGAGTCGTCTGTGATGGAAGAGTAAGTGGAGAGCGTGGTCGAATGAGTCGGAAAGGATGGTTGGAGTAATGCATTGTGGTAGCGGAATAAAGTATAGGTGCGTCGGCGGCCAATCGAAAGTTAGGGGCGAGCTAGAAAAGGAATATATGTAGAGAGAAAATAGCACAGTCGTTACGTTGTCGTAATCTCCGCATAGTTCCAACAAAAGGAGGAGTATACTTTAACAGACGCATGGTGTAGCGACCAGTGCGGTGAAGGTTTCATCGTTGTAAATAAAAGTTAGAAAAACGTGTTGGTATCCAAAGAGCTTGAGATCTATGCTGAATGAATCCTTGTTGGTCGAATCGATCACTTGATAGCAGTGCAGTATGGATAAAGCGTGTGATATCTTTTCTAACGAACTATCTTGAGTGTATGCTGTATACAGTTGAGGCTTTGGCCATTTTCTGAGTCTTTCGCTGCGCTGAACTTCTAGTGGTTCGTATGGCGAAATTCAGCATCTCAAAACTGGCGTCAGCTTGAACATGTTCGACTATGCCGAAATAGTACCTTTTTTGTAAAGAGGGAAAATTTGAATTGCACCTGCAACTTATTTTTTGCTTGCGTGAAAATATTTGTAGAAACATCTATACGTTCCTTTTGTAAGTACTTCGGTGCATATGTTCGCCATAAATGTTATTACTATCGGTGGTCTTATGTGCTATCACAAGACAGCGCGACTAAACCTCATCGCGTGAGAACCTGATATGAAAACATGCGTTTCGATCTTATACATGAGTTTACTGAATGCGCTACCACTTCCTGTGACGTCTAGATAAGCGCCTTGGGTAATGGTCAACCATTATCCACATTTGCCAAAAACCGTTCTCTGAAGCAGAAGCCACCAAATCTGCTTCTCATAGTCGCGTTCTTAATGAAGCGTATTCATCACATTTTTCATCATGTTCGTAGGTATGGGCAATCCACAATATATCAACAACGCTACATTCCAAGGTGCAAACAACAATCCTAACGTCCAGGATCTCAATCCAGGCACACAAGGTGTTGACTTCAACGAGCCAGACTCGT